ATTGTACACTGTAAGTAATAAACACAGTTAAATCGTAAAGTGTGGAGGCTGTATACTGCTGTAGGCTGCAGGCTAAGATTTAACTGTACAGATGAATAGAAGCTGTGTAAAGCAAACAGTTTCAACTGTAAAGTTTTAACTGAATCGAATCACGAGAATAATTAAAAGTATACCAGTTAAATCGTAGCTCCAACTACTACGTTTAATCGTAAGGTTTATAGGCTTTTATTTCACTTACAACAGCAATGTATGAATGTAATGTGTCAAGTGGACCCTTTCAACAAAATTTTGAAGCAGATGTCTTCAACCAATTAAAAACATCGGAAATAGGGTCTATAAAGGAGGCCATTCACGCTAGGTTTTGTATGATGGTTTTAGCCGTGCATGTATAAACGACAGGCAAGCCCTAACCGCCTAGCGTGTATAGGAATAAACAGAGGCCTTAGTACGAGTCAGTTTTACGTTTAAAGTATTCGAAACGAGTCCGCGTTCGGCGCTCTGATTGGCCGGCGCCAATAAACCAACCAATCAAAGCGCCGAACGCGTACTCATTACGATTACTTTAAACGTACCTAAAGCAAAGTCGTACTGAGGCCTCTGTACAGTTATCGGTGCTATGAAACTCGGTTATGCTTGTCGGTTTTGCTTGCACGGCTAAAACCATCATGTAAACCCTAGCGTGTATGGCCTCCTTAATGTAGTTAGTGGAGATCATCGGTGACCGCTTGGGGATATATGGGTAGCAAAGTTTTGTATAGACGGACATTGTAATGATCATAAATGCTCAGTTGCATAATAAAATAGGTTCCTTTTAATTATTATGTTTTCGGCTTACTCACATACATTATCTGTTTGACGAGGAACTCGACTAGGTAGTAATAACAGTGCGACAGACGCTGCGGCGCGTGTCGTGGATTGCTGCTCATGAATATGAGCCTCTAGCATGGCTTGAAACTAGTTGAGTTCCTCGTCAAACAGTTACGTCATTACGTGAGTAAGACGAAAACATAATAATTAATTTAGTATGTCCCACAAAAGTTTCAATATAAGCAATGTTCCTTTTAAAAAGATTTTAATTCCAACGAAACTTTATTCATTTGTTTTGTCACTATTGCCTATGTGCGCGAAGGTGGCGACGCGTAGCGTTTACAACATTTGCGGAAGCTGTCAAATAATAACAATGTAAACATTGTAATTTTCTTTGCAAATATAAATAAAACCAAAGATTAAAATAGTATTGTTGACATTATTTAAGTGCAATTTATTCAATAGTTTTACTGTAAAATGAATATAATAATAAAAACCGGGTTTGCATCATCCGCATTTGTTTCCAATTTCTGCCGTGTTGTGCGCTGCGGTCGTTATCTGTCCGCCACTACTCGCTTTGCCCATAGCCAATACCGACGTTAATAATATGTATGTACATAATTTATGTCGTTTGTTTACATTTAATGTTGACCTATAATAATTAATAAATAGAAATTGTTCGCCCAGACTTCTGTCTTCGATCCGCCGGATGAAGAGGAATTGTTGGAGAAGCCTGTCGCATCATTGTAATTATTATATTTACTTACTTAGCACAATTATTAGTATTTGTAAGATGGTCTATTAGAAAGACCCCGCTCCTACTTTTCCGTCGCATATCGTAAGACCAGACTGAGAGACTGGACAGGACTGTTTTATTCTACATCTGAACTCCTAACTCCAACTCGCCTACCAAGCGAAGAGGTTATAGTAAAGTTTCCTTATGTATGTACATGTAGTATAGAAGTTAACCTTCATAGGTTATTACCAGCACAACAATACCAGAACCCTATATCATGCATCAAGTATGCATGGTATATGAATATTATAAGTAACTAGTTGTAGTACCTAAATTATGTTTTCGGCTTTACTCAAGTAACTGTTTGACGAGGAACTCGGCTAGTTCCAAGCCATGCTAGAGGCTGATATTCGTCATAATATAAACATACTTAGGGGCCGTCCATATGACAAGGGAGAGGGAGGGATCCTAAAGTTTGTGATGTCACATTTCAAAAACTATTATAAAACACGAAATATAATTGTATTCATGTTTTTTATTTTGTTTGATTTGATATTAATATTTTTTTAAGTAATTTAAATAGAAATAAAATTGATTTCGGCAAAACTGTTTTCATTCAATAATTTTTATACATACGTAATTCTGCAAAATGTGACATCACACTAGGGGGAGGGTCTCACAAATTTGTCAAAACTAGCTGACGTACATGGTCGGGGGGAGGGGCAATAAATCATGAAATTCGTGACGTAATTTATGGATGTCCCCTTAGTGTTTGTGTGTATGTATCTTACTCAATCACGTCAAAACAGCTGAAAGAATCAGGATGAAATTCGGAACAGGGGTAGTTTATAGTCTGAATTAATACATAGGCAAATTTGTAACCCTCGGGAAGGGGCGCGAAACAGGCAACAAATTAATCTAAGGACTTTACTTTCTGCCTACCCCTTTAGCTATAAGTTGTGTTCATCATGATTTTACCATTTCAGTCATCAACAAACACATGACGTCACCTATGAAAATATTGATCACTTTGAAACGGAATCGAACCTAGGGTATATCAATCTTCCATTATTTTTTAAAAACATAGATTTATGTTATTTCTTTTTATACATAGTTCATTTATTAATTACTATTTGTGCTAGTTTGTAAAAGTTAACCTATTTTAGAAGGAATTTTAATGTTTCATGGCTTTTTTATATATTCTACAGAAGTATTCATAATGACAGCTTGCAAATGATAAATAATCGAGTTCCTGATGTCGATCGCAAGATAAACTATGAAAGGGTAAGTTCCTCTAAAATATTATATTCATAAACCTCATTTAATAGGCACAGTTCTGCTAAATACAGTAGTTTTATTATAAGATTAGCGCCTGCTAATTTAAATAGAGCAATAGAATACGCAAATTTCGTTTGAATTGCTATCAAATATGTTGTAGGCGCATTAGCAATGTTAATGTAGGTACTTTAATAATATTATTTAGTAGGTAGTTATCAGTCTATAGATCTCGGCAATATTATTGTCTTTTTTTTTAATGGGGGAAAGTCATCGAATGACTGCTTCCGCCTGTGTGAGGCGGGAGGGAGTGTCACTCTTACTGACTAAAAACCACCCCGTTCCTTCTCCTGCACGTCGAGCCGGAGCCCCGGTTACCCGTTAGGTTCTCCGCGACAATATTATTATGTCTAATGATTTATCTTCCAAGGTGTGCCCCATGGAGAAGTGTCAGCGGCTACAAGTGGACTCCTTCATGAGGTCGCTACCTCCATACATGAGGGCCAATCCCTTCACACACTTCGAACAGAACTTCGAGCACTACCAGACTTGTTCACCAGGTTTGATTCAAATCTTTTTATGATAAGTGACGCCAGTAGCGAATAATTATAATTTTTATTTGAATCATAATGGGGATTAACCAAGTAGGTTGTGTTGTGTTGATGTTTTTTGCTGTGTGAGTGCGGTTACTAGTAGTTCTCACCACCCCTTTCTACCTCCTTCTATTGGCATTGCGAGTGTCCATTAACGGTGATGGTTTACCTTCAGGATTGCTTACAGTTGCTAAAGTGGTCCGGTTGAGCAACCAAGTGTCTTGTTTAATGCATCGACAATCGACATATTATAATTACTTATGTTAGTAAGAATATGAGATATTGTTATGGGATACAGAAAAACACGTGATCATCAGGTGATCAGTCAGCTCGTTTGCCTCCTATTCCATCAAAAGCTAATTGTGGTCCACGATGAGAAAATTAGTCTCATGGTCACGGCTCATGAAAACGAAATAATAATAATATTATTTCAGAACAACTGGCGATGTTACAAGAACGTATTGAACATAAGAAGACCACGGAGGTGGAAAATTCAATAGAGATGGAAAGTCCATTGAATGAGTGGATCGGACAGGGCATTGCAGTGCAGACGTCTGAAGGGTCCCTGGAACTGCCTCCCTGCACGTGTCATGTGCCCAGTCCTTCACCTGCCTCCACCGATGTTATTTTCAATGGTTGGTGCATTAAGCGAACATTGTACCATAATAGATTCTTTGTAATCTGGCGTGCGCCATCATTGGTCGTAAATATACCTAATTTAGGCGAATTGGCCAAACAAACAACGATCTATTTAATAATAAAAAAAACTCTGAAGGATCTGTGATCAAAGTACAAACTGATTATAAATCTAACCAATAATTTTAGAACTAGCTGGACCCACTATTTATTATTTCTGTTAGACCGGATTTTTAACCTCTGGTGCCTATTAAATATATGACAGCAAAATAACATATCCTCAAAAAGAAATAATATTGCTCAGACATTTTTGTCAGATGCAATGTACTTTATCTATGTATTCTGTAATAACGTGAAATAATCAACTGTTTACATAAAGCGCTTGCTTTCCTTATTGTTTAGTTGAAGATTTGATCCCGGTTAAGCAAGCAATGGACGCCATTCACCGCGAATGTCTATACGACGAGAGAATCAACTTCGACAGGTTCAAGTTAATTGGACAGGAGAGCAGATCCCTTTTGTAAGTTTACTTTGAAAGTAGATTTGAAGTCAAAACTACATGAAATATATTTTTGATAGATTTTAAACTATATTGCAAAATAATGCTATTAAAAATCTAAAAGAAAAATCTTACAATTTGTGGTAACTTTGTGCCGAAACCTTAAAATTTATTGTGTTCCTATAAATTAAAATGACGATTCAAATTCTTATTACCTACAGGCAAGAAGAAATAGAAAAGGACACAAAAGAATTCAAACAAGCAAGATATGACGAAATAAAGAAAATATTAAACCAACATCCAAGTCTTTTGGACATATTCCAGGCCAACGCAAAATAGTTCATAATTTATAACAATTAAAATAACGTCTCATGTAAACAATTTATTTCTAAATCTGTAGTAACAAACAGACTAAAACCTAATAAAAACATTGAAATATAATTGATGCATTTTATTTAAACCTACTGTTAATAATGACTAGTATAATTTGGTATATCCAAAAACATTTTTTTCTATCGTAGACAATGGACAGAAGTGTAGCTGAAAAGATGACTCTGGAAAGACATAAAGCGATAGTGCTGCCACTATAAATTCGTCTCTTTCCATCGAATTCTTTACCAACTAAGTCCTTACATAATACTTCAACCACAACTACAAAAATAATGCAAAATCCATTATTTGTTTATGATTTTCAAACAGACAAACACGATCACTTCATAATCACAAAATTTTTAACAAACTTTATACAATACCATTTTCCTTCGCATTTAATTTCAAGATTATTTATCTTCATGATATTTTTTACATTATTCTTCCGAGCCATACGATAACACGTCCTAACAATAAGCACCAAAGTTCAATTCTTATTAAAAATCATGTTCAAATCTTGTCCAAATTCCTTTGGTTTATCTGTAATATCTTTTAGTTCCTTCTGTATCGTATCTTCGATTGTCATTACGAGGTTTTCTTGTTCACTGTCCTTAAATTCTTCAAAGACTTCAGCATCAGGATAATCTTCGACTCTTTCTTCCATTTCAATGAAGACATCGGATTTTATTCTGTCTGCCGTACATTTCTCACTCTCTGTGATACTGACTTCAGTGAGGCTTGATTTAGGAATACTTTTCAAAGATTCTTTAGCGACAGGTATTTTGGAATCATCTATCTTACTTTTAGAGTCTATATTTTTAAGGGAATTCGTTTTGTTTGGCTGTATGATTGGTTCATTAATTTTTGGCGTCGGAGGGGCGTTTTCGAATGGTACAGATATAGTGTTTGTGAGGGCTTCCACCTCCTTTCGCCGAGCTTGTTTCCTCTCCAACTGGTTTTGCAATTCATCGATCCTTTCTTCTTTTAATTTCAATAGATTGTCTAGGTGTTCAACCTGTATAAATTAAGAATGTTACACTTAATTGACATGCAAATTAATCGACAGACCGATTAACCTAAATTCGGTCGTGTTGATTAAGTAATTGTTAATCGATATAGCTCAACGAGTTCAGATTGTAAATGAATAAATTTATAAGTAAAGAAATAAAATAAATAGCATCACGAATATTGTATTTCTGATAAAATTGCTTGCTCGTTCTTCTTCATTAATGTCTTTCACTGTTGGATTTGAAATAAATATTTTCAGCCTGCATTTTCAGCCTTTTGACAATATAGCGAGTATGCACATCATCATAATCACCAGCCCTGAACTATGAGCCTCCCCTGTGTATATTTCTGTCAATGAATCAATCATAGTTATTATATTAATATTTCTTTTCCCTTAACTTACCTTCTGTTTCAGTACTTCTGCAGCCTCCTTAGCATCCTTGAGCTCCTCTTTGAGAGCGCAGTACGACTCGTAATTGATGACCTTTTGCTGCAAACTCTCCAGCACTCCGTTGACTCTTGTTTTAACTGGTATAACCAGTACGTGTTCTGTAACAGATTAGGATCAGGATCTCATTGAAACAACAAGATCTTATTGCTTAAATCGTTACTTTCACAGTCAAACTGTTAGTATAACTACGATAAACTCACTCATCTATGAACCACAAATATTAAGATTGCCCATCTATAACTCTATAACTCTCAAGTGGTTAAGCTTATTTTTTCACGAAATAGAATAATACCAATTTTCCAATGGACATAAGCTTTCTCCAACAGCGCGCCACTAAGCTCAATTGTCATCTTTGTATCCAGCCGTTTTCCCAATATCACCACATTAGCTTAATACATTCGTCCCCCTGACTCTTCAAATACCAATAGCCCTGAAGTTCTGTTACTGGAAGAAGTAGTGTAATGATGAATGCTACCGTCGTCTCCACAAGCTTCGTAGTAGCTGCCACCGCTGGACAGGTTCTGTTCCTGTTCCTTCGCAGCCTTGTGTAACTCCTCGTCACGACGAATCTTATCCCGAACTGGAACAAAGACATCTTCATAAGCTGACATTCGTCCACTGCCGGACAATGGGTTCCTTCTTAAACAGTGAGAGTCGTTTACGATAATCCACATGCATGGCAACCGATTTTGGGGATCGCAAATAGTAGTAGTAGAAGTGCTTTTCGTTTCTCTTAGTATAATGGGTTCGATACAACTCTATTCGAATCCTAACTAGGGATGCCCTATTGGCTAATTAATTTGATAAAAGTCGAAAGGATGTCATAATAGATCTGGCATTTCCTCCCTAACTATTCTGAGAAAAAAACCACTAACAATGAAGTCACAGGTTTCTTTGATGTCCATAGATAAGATAAAATGGAAAATAGAACTCACCCATAACAAGTACCCTCTCGATGATCCCCGGGGCACAGTTAGCGAGCTGTTCCATGGTATTGCAGCATAGATTGAGCTTCAGCTTCTTCAGCACTTTCCTGTTCAGCGTCATCCAGTTGTTCAGCTTCAAAGAGTGACTGTTGCGAGGTGGATAATTGTGCATCTCCACCAGCTTTGGGTAGTGCACGCTGAGAATTTCTGCTAGAAGGACTGAATGAAGAATTTTTATTATTTAGGTAGGTATTGGTTTCTGGATCTTGGGAAATCTAAATGGATGAAGGATGATTTCATCTAAGTACGATACGGTAGATAGCTTATCATAAAGGCGTTAGGGGAGGTGGGAAGATAGAAAGTAGAGCAGCAATGCAGAGCCAGATTAACGGAAAAGTCGCACTATGGTACTTTTGCAAATGGAGAAGAATCTCCTAAACGCATATTTGGAGATAATTATTCACTACATAACTCAAGGCCTTCTAATCCCTGAAGACATACAGAATGTAACACCAATTTTTCATCAGGAAAGTTAAGTACGACTTACGTCACGTATCACAGGGCGGGTTTAACTTATCTTTTTGATTGGAAATCCTTCCACTAGGTACTGTAAAAATTATTCTACCTCACCTGCATCAGAAAAGTCCCGATTAATCTTCTTCGTAGGTCGAGATAGTTTGAACGTGTCAACCCAAGCCAAAACTGATTCGATATCCGATAAAGGTATAGGTGTCTCAATGTTAGACATCTTGCAATATTGAATTATATAAACAGTTGTTATAATATTATTTATACTTTATTTTATTCAGTGTTGATTGTTTGACAATGTAAATTTCGTGTTTGTTGTCAGACATTTTCTAAGTTTTTTTGGATGGGAACCTTTTTAGCCAGTTTTTGGTCGTTGACAAAAGGAGGTTTGGTGTTTTGAAGTCTACCTTTTTCGCGGTTAAATATTCTCTTGTCTAGTCGTTCGCACTACGCCGTAACTGTGTGTGTTAGACTCTGGGACTTATCTATGTAAGAAGATTTGCCATAATTACCGCGTTTGGTACGAGTCGGACTACTGTTATCGCCATATCGTCTAGGTCTAACCCGCCTTCCAAGCATGCTCTCCATTTTGCAGGTAACTAAAATAAAGTGTTTCATTAGAATTAAATAATACCTAGTGAAATGTCAACGATAGAGTTACTAACTCCACCACTTAGAAACACGCATGAAATCAATGACGCTTTTCATAAGCATTTATCTTTTTAATTACGCTAAACTACATATTCATCTATACCTATTACATACCCATTTGTTTTACGTATGGAAAGTCTTTAAACTAACTTCGATCATTAAATCAATCGCTGACATTTTCTCTCATAGTCATAACATTAGAAAGCTTTCTTGAATAGATCTCGTCGATCACTTAAACGAGCGCTGCATTTTCTATATGCAACACATAACCACCATAACTTGACCCCTCTCATCTCAATTTTCCATAGATTTTTGTATGAAATGTGCAGTTACATTGCGTCTTAGTAAAGTGGTTGGCTTCTAACTGTAGTTGCATAGAAATTGTGCTTTCTATTGCGTTTAGTAACAAAAGGTTTCTATGTAGAGTTCTTAAAATATCGTAAGGAATATTTTATATTTTTCATTTCCTTTAGAATATCTTCGACTTTTTTATGTAGCATTACACCATTACTGCTATCTCGCCTCGTGGTAACCGATATTGTGACGTACGATAGACGGCGAGCCAGCAATCTATTCACTCGGACCTTGAAGACACCCAGTGCCTCTAGCCAAACGCCACTATAGCGCTTGTCTACAGAGAGAGTAGGAAACTAAATGTATGAGGATGACACTGACAAGTGTCAAAAACGTCAATTCGATATAATTTAGTTTTCTATTCTACATGTAGACAAGCGCTAGTTATACCATTTGGGAAATATAGACTCTGGCAAACAATTCCACCTAACAATAAAAACTTGATTGCACGGTAGCTGGGGAATGAGCTGCTGCGCAACTTACCGCGCATTTCTGCACTGAACACGTCTTTGTATTGTAAATTCATGAGTGGTTCATGCTTTTTCATAAATAAAGACTTCTAAACCTTTCAATTCAATTTGACTGCACGGTTGGCGCGGTGGCTGGGCAACAGGCTACCGTGCAACGTGTAGAGAACCTAACGGGTAACCGGGGCTCCGGCTCGACGTGCAGGAGAAGGAACGGGGTGGTTTTTAGTCAGTAAGAGTCTGACACTCCCTCCCGCCTCACCCAGGCGGGAGCAGTCATTGGATGATGTTCCCCCCTTAAAAAAAAAAAACCGTGCAACGTGTCGAGGGTTCGAATCCCGCACGGAACAACAATTTGTCTGATCCACAAATTGTTGTTTCGGGTCTGGATGTCATTGTGTATGTGAACTTGTATGTTTGTAAACGCACCCACGACACAGGAGAAAATCATAATGTGGGGCAACGTTTTAAAAAAAAACCATCCCTTTTTACCCCACACAGTAACAAATAGTACCCACCTACCTAATATTTAACTTTGCACTTGACAAACAAGTTGACAAGCATCCGCCATCTTGGTTTAAAACGTCACTTTCTACAAACTATTTGCGTTTTCACAATGCGTTTGCGACGATGAGATGACAGGTTTCGTTTCGTACACACTGTACGTGAAGCTATCACAATCTTGTATGCGATTTTCAACTTTATATCTTTAATGACAAAGTTAAGAATTAATTGTAGTTGTACAGAAAAGTGTAGCTTCATTTGCTGGTTTTATACATTGTACAGTCGTAAGCAACAGTTTGTTTTTTTTGTCAATTCGAAGCCTATGGGTTTAATTAGATAGTAGAGAGTTGCTAAGGGAAAGTGTATGTAGATTTGGATATAAGTAGCATTTTTATTTGGAAAAAGGTATATAATTGGGATGATGACAGGGTATGAAAATTAAAAATTTAGTCCGTAAGTTAGGTAATGAAAAAATATTAAACACGTATTTTTTTTATTTTGTCGTACCTATAATAAAACAATACTTTGATAAAATGAATCGAAATTTAGGAGTGGGGGCTAAAACGGCATTTCTACGTATAAAATGTACATAGAACTGACGTCACGCGACATTTCAAATCAATATATCGTCGAAAGTACTTGTTTCTGTAAGAAAATAAAAAATACGTGTCTAATGATTTAAAATAATCTACCAGACGGACATTAAAATAAAAATTAGTCGTCTACCCTATTGTGTTGATATTTAGGTATACTTTCATTTTTAGATTTGTGTAAAGAAAGAATACGCCAAATGAAGCTTTGTGGTGATAGTAAACAAGATTATCTTCAGTTGCCTTGCCACAACTGTTACTTTTCCCGAAGGTGTCGTAATAACAGACTAAGGGATAACTAGACTAGGCTTATTTTTGAGAAGGATAATCACTCAATGACGTCTGCCAGCTAAGGTGAGACGAGTGAGAGTGTCAGACTGTTACTGACTAAAACCACTCCGTTCCTGCCCCTGCTTCGAGCCAGAGTCCCGGTAAGAGCGCTGACAAACGAGCAGAATATACCTACGTCAGAGGCAACTGCTGCCGTTGTCTCGTGTCAATGGCAGCAGCAGACAACTACACTTATAGTTATAGTTATAGTTGTAGCGTTCTTCGAAGTTGAAGGCTGCAGTTACCTCTGCCATTAGTATATTACCAATGCCGCTCGTAGTTCGTTGTGCAAGAGCTCTATCGAACCCGTTAGGTCATCCGTAGCTGGACTCAGCTGCTTGTTTTCTCTGATAAACTCCAGTCTCCAATCCGCCTGACCAGCAAGATTATGGCAAACTGTATAGAAGAGGCCCATAGCAGTGGACTGTCCAGGCTGTAGATGTCGATATCTCTTTTTAAAAGGCCATCAATGCACCTGTGACTCCTCTGGTGTTGCGGGTGTCCTTGGGCGGCGCTGTTCGCTTGCCATCAGGTGGTCTGTCTACTCGTTTACCTCTAATTCCATTAAAAATATTGTAAACCCAAAGCCTAGTCATTTGTCTAGTCTAGTAGGTTACCTACAAAACATGATGTACAAAATTAGTCCTTGAAGGTCGATACTCTTTTAGTTCCCATGCAAGCCTTAACAATTACATATTATAAACTAAATATAATTGTACAATTTAAAAACTGCATATTTAAATAATAAATAAGTAATTTAAATAAACTAACGTTTACACGGCTACACATGAAGTTAGACAAACCAGTATAAACTGACCGTCGACTGTGCAGAAAGACCATACGAAGCGAGATCATGATATATTGGATTTTTATGTATAGTTCGATTTGAAGCTGTACCTATGTATACCTACTTAAACATAAGTTATTTTTTACACTGTAGCACTTCCGTTCTCAGTTGTACCTATACCTAATGCTTTTGTTTTCTTGGCTGAGTCAGCTCGTGAGTACCTAGTACCAAGTAGGTACCATTTGCACAAGTCTTGTGATTCTGTATTTATCCTTCTGAGTAAGTATTTACGTTTTTAAAATAGCCCTTTTCTGTTTAGGTTGAAGCGGAGGAACATAAGAAAACATCACGCCTTTTATCCCCGAAGGGGTAGGCAGAGGTGCACATTATGCTACTGTACAATTTAACACCCACTTCTCACTATTTATGTTATGAGTCCCATGTAATAGGGGGTGAGCCTATTGCCATATACCGGGCACAATTCCAGACTCCATGCTACTACTGAGATTTATTTAAAAACCCAGTAATATTTTGGCCGACGCGGGAATCGAACCCGAGGCCCCTTGCCCGGCAATCGCACTTGCAACCACTCGGGCAACAAGGCAGGCAATGAGAGATATTACTATGAGTAATATACTTAAAAGCGGGTTACGATTACACGGTAATATTATATCTACCTCTATACTAATATTATAAATCTGAAGAGTTTGTTTTTTTGTTTGTTTGTTTGAATGCGCTAATCTCCGTAACTACAAGTCTGATTTGAATAATTCTTTTTGTGTCGGATAGCGCATTTATCGAGGATGGTAATGGGCTAAAACATCACGCTACGACCAATAGGAGCTGAGCATGAGCAGAGTGTGTGAAACCGCGCGGAAGTAGCTAGTTTGGAAATATATTTGGGTCAACTTTGAACAAAAGCAACCACACTTCATAGTCCTGCACAAAATCAACTATACGATAAGCCAGCCACGGATGCCAGCGTATACGGATACATCAAAATAATATTCTCTTCACATTTGTCACTATCTATTGTCACCTACAATCTGCAATACGCGTCACAAACAGCCTCTGCCTATCCCCCCTAATCTATAGCGTGATGCGTATTTAATGATGACATAAGAAACGTACGTTTTGGTTTTCCAAATCTGTTGTTAAAGGTATGGACACACTTAAAGCGTTTTATAGCAAACTTTAACTCGTCGAGCACCGTTATTATAGACACAATTAAAGAACAATAGGTTGCGGTCACCGGTGACCGCTTGGTGTTTGACAGTTTAAACCTACTAAAACATAGCCCGAGTGAATAGGTTGCTTATGGGACGACGTGCTCCATCGTAGACCGCATCATCGCTTACCACCAGGCGAGATAGTGCTCAAACGTCGGCCTATCCTAAATTAACTGCCTAAATCGGTATAAAATTGTGTATTAGTAGGTACTTTGCTTTATTGGGATCTTCCTCATGAGCGTAGGCTGCGCGTCATCATCGCGACCGCGCACGCTGCTCATGAGAAAGAACCCCTATGTGGTTCGCAACTAGTAGAGCTTTTCTCAATATATTCACGTGAGTAACCCGCGATTTTTAGTTAATTTAGTATGTCTCACGATAGTTATTATAAGAACATACT